CACTCGTGATTCAAAAAATGTCAGTCCATTAATTCATTCAAATTTTTAAAGAAATTAAAAAAAAATTTCTAAATTTTGCAAAAACAACAATTGTGAAAATATTCTTCATAACTAAATTAATTCCAAAATAAAATTAATGTAGTTGTTCTTAAAAGTTTTCGAGTAAATTCAATTCAATTTTAAAATTCAAGACTGCTCAAGAATGAAAATGAATGACATTAATTTTTTCAATTACGTTTATTTACAAAATTCTCTCATATTTCGAACATAAATATATTTGACATTTTCTGTGAAAAGTTGAAAATTTTAGAACGAATATAAGTGATACTCGTATTAAAGTTCTTGAATGCAAAATATTTAAAATAAGTGAGAAAAGATTTAGCTTCAATCAAGAAGAACTTCAATTATTTTGAATATTTTCTCTCATTGCAATCGTTAGTATAAGGCCGCTATATTAAAAAATTTTTACGAATTACTTAAATTGTGCGTCAACTTCGGACAAAAACTTTTACTAAATTCAATGATTTTTCAATTTCTCAAACAAATTACATATTTTATTAAAGGAATGCAATATATGGACTGAAAATTCTGCATATTTGTGTTTTATGCAAATATTTATTTTAAATAGAAATTCATTAATATTTGTATAATTATTGTAAATTAAATTAATTAATTTTATTTTAGTTTCCAAATGAATTTTTTTTTTAATTTGATAAAGTTATACATAATACATATACATATAGAGAATGTATATCAAAAAATATGTTTAAGAATCATAAATCAAAATATTATAAAATATGTATTACGTTTTTTGTTTTTTCTGTAGTAAATGTTGTCTTCTATGTTTTATACAATTTTGTTGCTCAACTTTTATCAACAAAAATTGAAATTCAAGTGGTGTTCATAGCCTACATAATCCACAGTAAAACTATATTAGTGATTCAATCATAAATAAATGTGTTCACAATATTTTTATTAAATAATTTATTTTTGTAGTTCCCAATTGTCATCGTGTAATTTATTATGTTAGTTATACTATAAAATCGCCAATAATACACAACAGAGTAAAAGTATATATATTTTTGAAAAATGATTTTAGACAGAAAATTTAAAATTAAAAATTTTATTTAATTTGCACCCTTTTTTCGAATTAATTTTTTTTCTTAAATAATTAAATATATTTTGAATGAAAAAAAATGTGCACGTCAATATATAAATTTAATCGTACTTACATACATAGCCCTTCACCCGAAAAAATTTGTTTTTGAAATCAAAATTAATTTGTGAATTAAATTTCCAATTAATACAATTTAATTATTCAAATATTTCAAATATTAATATTTAAATGTCAAAATATAAAATTAAAATGTAAATTTTATAAATATATTTTTATAAAATGTTCAATTATAATTTCAATACAAATTGAATACAATCAATTTTAAATGTAAATAAGGTACCAATATATGTTCCATATTTTGTGGTAATAGACATAATTTACTGAATTCTACTCCAACATAATTATTATTACCGTAAAATCTTATTACTGCATTGTGTTGAGTAAAAGATAGTTCAATTAATCAATTCAGTCAATTATTACAATTATTTATTTCCAGTATTTCTGTCCCACCTCCTCTTTTTTCAGTATTTAGTCCTCCTCTTTTATTATACAATATTAAACAATTTCATTTTAATATATAACTAATATTACTTTATATATAAAATAAAAAAATTTTTAAAATTTATTTCTTGACAATTAATCTTCTTAGTATTATTTCATACACTTAAAATGTTAAACACAATGTTGATTTAATTGAACACACTTGATGACCATAAAATTAAAAAGTCAATTAAATCTTCAATATTAAATAAAGATTGCAAAATATTTTTTAAGAAAATTATTATTTTTTTTTTCTTGTACAAATGTAGAGTTATTAATTATTTATTTGTGAATGAAAAGAAATTCTATTTTTTTTTTGGAAAAAATTTTAATTAAGAATCAAAATAAAATATGGAAATTTCAATAATTTTTAAAAATATTAAAAGAAAAATAAAAATACACAACAAATTTTTAAAATTAATAAATTTTTAAATTTATAAAATTATTTTATGTTTTCAAAACTAAAATTATGTTTTTGATTTAATTTTATTCTAAAATATTTTATAATATCAAGTGATTTATTTAATTTTTATATTTTTTAATAATTTTTTTTTTAATTATTTAAAACAAAATTATTCAATTTTTTAAATAGTTTTAAATCTAAATTTAATTTCCAAATATATATATTATATAGAATAAATTCAGGGATTATTCTTTGAACAATTTCCAACAAAAAATTCTATCGGTGAGGGGGGAGAAGAGTGCAAATATACTCGTTTTCATGGTTCCGAAGTTAAAAGTATTTTTTTACAAGATTTAGGTAGCTTGAAAGTATGTGGCTTGAGTATATCTGCATCCCTCCTCCCTTTAGACATTCAATTTTTTACTGGAAATTGATCAAACAATCATCCCTGAAAATATTTCATTTAATTTTATGCGAAACATCCTGTAAATCTTGATAATCTATTTTTAACAGCATCTTACAAATGATTGAATTTCGAAATAATAATTTTTATCCCGCTCATTTATTTTTTAGTAATTTCTATATGTAGATATTTTTACATAGAATTAGATATACAAATTAGTATAGAACCTAAATCAAAATTTAGAACTTTCAATTTCTTTAAACAAAAAATCAAAAATAAAATTTATTTATTTAATATATCAGCAAAAAAATATTTAAATTGACGCATACTGATTCCATCATTGCTTAGATATACCTTAATGTGATTTATTACACTAATAAATAAGAATAACTACGATAGATAAGCTTCCCAAAGAAAATGGTAATAGAATTTTTGACAATATAATTTGTGTATAATAAATTTATAACAATTATAACATAACCAATTTGTCAATGTAAAATTTTATGGTCACAACATAACCAATTCCAACAAATTGTTGTAACTTGAATTTTATTAACTAAAGGTTAGAAATTCTAATAACATAATATGCTTTAAGAATAATCCCGAATTATAAAATGTCTATTGTGAATATGACTTTTATTAATTAATTTTTCGTATTATGAATGTCTTAAGACTTTTACATTATCTATAAGTTTTAGGTTTTAAATAACTTCAAAATTGCAGTAAAATTATTTTAAACACAATTCAGCTTACGATCTTTTATACATTACGATAATCCAATATATTATTATACAATTTAGAAATCTGGGTCTATAACATTTGTATGATAAATTTGATAATAATTGCACAAATGAAAAATTATAAGGAAAAATTATATTTAAAAATTTAGTTGCAATTACTATTATACATTTTCGCTATTATAAATTTATAATTATCTTTTCACTATAATACATTTATAATTATTTTATTTGAATTTTTCTTAAAGATTTACCAATATTCCACCACCCTAATTAATTTTAATATTCGATATTCAAATACGTAACTAATTAGATATTTAAATTTTGTTCAAAGTAAAATAGTAACAAAATTTGATAGAACAGATAATTTTATTATAATTTAGAATGATTATTGTAGTTATAGTCATATACATATTAATAATATATATTTTTTATATCCTTACCCTCCTCCGGCCCCCCCTTTTTCGTTAGAATTATTAGATATTTTTTTGAAAAATTTAAAATTAAGTTAGAGAAAAAATCGCATTGAAAACCAATTATTTTATTTTTATTCATTTATTCCTGTAAAATGTGAAATACTTATACTTAATTCTGTAATTTATTATTTTATTTATAATTTTATTTAAAAATGTAATTTATTTATTAATTTATTTTATATATAATATAATGTTTCTTATAGATTTGAATTTAAAAAAAAAAAAACCGAAACAAATTAAAATAATTTCTCTTTTATTTTTTTTTTCTATAAACTTTTCTTTTTGACAGCGATTAAGTGACAGAGCAGCGTCTTCAAAAGCTTCCTTATATATTTTTCTTTTAAACTGAAACAAAAAAAAATATAATTAAAACAAATATAATAATAAAAAAAAAAAAAATGAAAAAAATTAATGAAAATTAAATTGAAATAAGTATTTAAGAGCAGCACAACTAATTAACGTCAACCTATGTATACACCTTCATAAATATCGACGAATTCTTTGAAATCACAACGTACATACATACATATAACGTAATTGTATTGTCAAAATATAACATTAAATTTGGTTAATTCTACTTTCTGTATAACAGCAATCAACATTTTCTGTTATAAAATTATTTTATAGCAAATAAAATAAAAATTGTAATTGCATTTAAAAAATCAATCATAAACTTATCTACATACATAGAAAATAAAAATTAATAAAAAAAAAATTTAGATATAGTCTAAGATTTCAAAAAAAAAAAAAAAAACACAAAAAAAAAATCAAAGAAAATAAAATTAGTTTCAAGCTTTTGCAGCCGGGCGCATTCAATATAAAAAAAAAAAAAACAAAAATAATTTTTAAAAATTTATTTTGAAAAAAAGCTTAAAAAAAAATAATACAAAAAAGCCAAAAACAAAAACGAAAAAAAAATTTCAATTAAAAAATTAACAATTATGTATGCCAAAAATGAAAACTTATTTATTAAAAAATACGATATACATAGACTTACCGCCTAATTTCAATTATTGTCAAATTATATAATTACTGTACTGTACACTATATCCATTCTCACCGAATTTCCTACATATTTACTTACATAGTGTGTTTCATTAACAAAAGGAAAAACAAAAAAAAAAAATACAGAGAGTGTAACTAACACATTTACATTAAAAAAAATAATTTTTTTTTGTATAACAAATATAACAAAATAGAAAATAATTTGTACCTAATACCGCTAGCTAATAAATAACTAAAAAATCAAAATGTAAAACAATGTAAATTACAAAACAATGAAAAAAAAAAAACCCAAATTATTTTTTAAATTTAATATTTTCAGACTTGAATCATCTAGGAATACTTCTGATCATCAATTATCAAAATTACCACCTCTCCCACCAATACATTCGCACAAAGAATAAAATATTCAAAAACATAAATGTAATTTGATTATAAAAAATTTTATAGAAAAGTTATTGGAAAAAAACAACATACAATATATACATATTAAATTATATAATAAATTATATATATACACACTTCAATACATAAAATATAATACTAAAGGTTTCCAAAATTACAAAAAAATAAATATATATCGTATATACATACACATATACAATAGTATTGGAATTATTAATTACATATAATATATTTACTTACTTACTTCCTCCACATGTTTTAATAAATTTTCACACTTCTTTAAATACTCAATATTTTCGACACTTTGCAATCAGTTATGTGCTTATGACCATATCAGGTTTTTCTCTTTTATTCAGACATTGAAAGTTACATAATATAAAACAATTTGACAAGAAACTAAATTACTTAATAACATTAATTTAATTACGAGAATAACTATACATAATGAATTCGTAAATTATAATCAAAAAAGGCGAGAGAATTTTTTCACTTATTTTCAATATTTTAATTAATTATAATTTTATAGACAAATTCATCTAAATCTAAATAACAAATTTAGAACGCTTGAATTTCGAATAATAAATTTTTAATTTTTATTCTTTATTAACTTTATTATTTGAAATAGTATAAAAATTTCATAAATAAAGAGCATTCGCCGACTTTACTTTTTGCTAATAATAATAAGAGAATTAATTCAAAAGCATTATGTATTTGAATTTTTCTTCTTATTCTTATAAATTTCATAAATCACCTCTTTTAAAAATTTATAACAAACAAAAGTAAATGACTAGAACTAAGGACCTGAAAAAATCCTGGATTCGTATAGGCCTACAAAATAAGTTCGTATAGGTCTACAAAATAAAGTTAAAAAATTAAAAATAAATAAAAAAGTTCATAAGTCAAATTCTCTTTATTATTTCGGCAATTTTGCAAAATTGTCATGCCATCTATACTCATTCATTAAAACAAAATTATTTGAATATTAAATTTTATTTTTACTTTTTATATTAATTTTTATATTCAAATGCAAGAATATTATTTTTAATAAAATTTTAATTTTTTTAAAATAAATTAAATTTAAGAAAAAATCTACAAATTTTTGAAAAATTTTTGTCAAAATTGTCAAAAATTTTAACTCAAAACATTTTGGAAAAAATTCTTACATTTACGACATTAAATAGTATCAAGTTATACAAAAAAATATTAGCATACAATTTATCGATATTAAATAATATCATACAAAATAGTATGACAATTTATTAATTTTCAATTATTTTGACATTTAAAAATTCACCTCGATTCCCAATTAAATTGACTTTGAATGTCAGTAACAGTGATCACTTTTGAAAACCTATTAAGAATTTCCCAATTTTTTTGTTATTCAATATTCTTAACTCAAAAATTCGTATAACAATATAAATAATGTTTTTTTTTATATGTACATATATATGTGTGTGTAACTTACTTGCAAATCAATAAATTTAAAAACCGTACAGATAAAATTAAACTAAAAGAAAAAAAAACAAATTATAAAGACCCACCATATTAATTAAAATAGTATAAATGAATTCAAAAATTCATAATTAAAAAGAAATCAATTAAAAATAACAAAACAAAAAATATTTACTTAAATATACAAAAACAAAATAAAAAAGAAAAATACAAAACGACAACACTATTTTTTGCTTTTTTTTTTGTTTGACAGTTTTTGTGTCATAATGGCTTAGAAGACGATAGAAAAATACAAAAAAAAATGATAAAAGAAATGTTAAATAAAAAAAATTCTTGAAAAACCCAAAAAAAAAAAAAAACTTTTTGATTAATATTAAAAAAAAAAATAAATGAAAAATTATATATGAAAATTGTAGAAAATTTAATTAAAAATTATTATGAATTATAAAAATTAATTATTAAAAAAAAAAACAAGAAAAAAAGAGTTTATTTAAAAATAAAATATAAGAAAAATGTTCGAAAAATTTAAAAAAATGAAAATTGATTTTCTTCATAAACGTTTATTTATATTTAATTAAATTCAAATATTAATCAGGAAACAAGAGAAAAAAAAACAAAAAACAAACACTTATTGTAATTTTCTAATATTTTTTATGAATAAACAAAACTTTATTCAGGACATTAAATTTTTTTTTATTGTTTAATAATAATTTATTTTTTTTACCATGAGAATCCAAATTTCCTTTATTTATAGGTATACATATACTACAAAATCTAAAATTTTATCTGGGTCTGATAAAAATCATATATGCAAACACTGTTTGACATCAAACATTGCCTTACGACAAATAATTAATTAAAATCACTCTATTCTCATCTGATCTCGTCTGATTTTTTAAAAGTAAAATAATTAAATTTCATGGGTTTAGAACAAAAGTAAACGGCACCTTACGCCACACACTCTATGATGTGTTGGGTTTGTTCAAGAGAATAAGATTTCGTGTAGAAATTTTATACTCTAAATATTTAATTTTTGATAATTGACACCATTTTACACGATTTTATATTTTAAATATTCGCTTAAATATCGTTTTAACGACTCGCTATATCTAAGACAATTTGTAAAACTTCAGCGACAAAAAATGAGAATCAAAACGCTAATAAGCTATTTTTTTCGAAGCGCAATAATTATTTGTTATTTTCCCTATTTTGTCGAATTTTCCGAAGCTACCGAATTCACTAACATTTAGTTCACTAGCATCATTTTGCAGTATTTTCTTTTAAATTTGCAAAGTAGACTGTCACAATAAAATTCTTTATATTTTTAACCAAATTGCGAGCTTCGTTAAAAGTATAAAGATTCACCACATTTCTTAGCGAATTCGCTAAGCAGCACTGTTTATAAAATTTAAACAAAGAATTCAAATCAAACTAATAGTTTTCATAGAAAAAGTCGAACAAGATAAGATATTAACAAAAAAGCAATTTTTTTGTTAAATTATTTTCATTAGAACTCCAAAATTATATTATAAAATGAAAATTTATTGCATACTTTTAGATTAGTAAAAAGAAAAAACCATTAACGCAAATCTCGAGTTTGATTTTGACAGCTTATCGATCAGGCGAAATAGAAATTTTGTTAATTCTTAAAAACGATAACTTAAAAGATGAGACCGACTTATGATTTGTTCTGACGATCATACCTTAAAAATTTCCTATAATAACTTCCACGAATCGAGCTTTTTTGATAAGATATTATCAAAATAGCAACATTATGTACAAGCTTATATTATGGATGTCAGCTAAAGAATTTGTAAGAATCTATAATTTTTTAAATTATGCAGTTTTCATTCAAAATGAATACTTAATGTTGGAATATCAACTAATTGGAACTATCATTAAACTATTTCGACATTTAGATATTACACTTTTTTTTTATAAAAATAATTTTTATTTCTTAAAAAATAATTTTATACATTCAACAATAACTAAAGAATTATTTTTCACACAATCTTATAACACATTCATTTCATATAAAATTAATAAATTACAAAAACTAATATAGAATTTTTTTTTTTTTGGTAACTTCTTATTTCCCACCCTTTACACTTCTTCCAAATGGTATTCCACCGATTCCAGCACCACCAAAACCATATCCTCCAGGAAAACCACCACCATATCCACCAGGAAAACCACCACCATAACCACCACCTGGAAAACCATAACCACCTATTCCTGGATAACCGCCCCCAAAACCTGCACCTGGGAAACCTGTACAAAGTGTTATAATCAATAAATTTCTTATATAAATTATAATATTTTTTGAAATAAAAAATTACCATAGCCCCCATATCCACCATAACCTCCATATCCCGTATATTGTTGATAGCTACCATATCCATATCCTCCGCCGTATCCACCACCATATCCTCCATAACCGCCAAGTCCCGGATAACCGCCAAGACCAGGATATCCGAAACCTGGATAACCCCCTAATCCACCAAGTCCACCCAGGCCAGCACCCAATAATCCAAAAGTTCTGCCTTGTGGTTTTTGGGCATTATTTATGCGTAAAATCGTAAATAATGATATAAAAAATCCCAAAATCTAAGAAGTAGTTCAAATTATTTAAATTTTTTTATATATGTAAAACTTAAGTAACAAAATCTATTTTTCACAATTTTTTTACCGTGTAAAATTTCATATTGCTTAATTTTTGGTTTTTCCTACACTTTTTCACTTTTTTGTTTTTTCTCTTTATCTTTGTTTAATTTAACTTTTTATATAACCGCAATTACATAATCCGATTGACCGATATATTTCGACTGCTATAAGATTCTTGTTGGCATGACATTTTTATATCATACCAAAAATGGGGAGAGAAGGAGAATATAGATTAATCACCATCTAGTGCACCTCCAACTATTTTCCAAAATAAAAAAACAAATCAAAAAATGAGAAAAAAGTAATTAAAGCAGATTCAATGGAACTCAAGAAAAAAAAAAAACATTTTATAGTACAAACATGGCCAAAAAAATTAACGTGGAGGTGAAAATAAGGTAAAATCTGTTTTTGACATGGTAGTTTTTGTGCTTAGGGAAATTATACCAGTATGGCTAAACGGATCAGTTTCAAAAATGTTCAAAGCGTTTTTCATTAAATTAAAAACGAATTCGCCAATTACCACAAACGTGGCGTCTACTGCACTCCAATTAACATAAATTCTCTTTATCTTTGAGACCACCAAGTCACCATCGAACGTACGATTACATTTCGCTATTTTGAGGAATGTGGCTAAATCTCTGATGTAAATCTTCAATAAATCGTCTAGTTATACCACGTTTGCACAATCCGACACAGTTTTCTTGGCGTTCCGCATGTTTCCGCAAAAGGGCCTTTCCACTGTGATCGACACGCTATATAGATGATTAACTAATAAAAAATATGACCAAAGAAATTCAACCATGCACAGAGGCCACCTTAAGTTTTTTGTCGCGTATACAATAGATGGCGCTCTATAACATAACAAAATGTAAAAATACAAATTTGACCACGTCTGTTATCGCTTAAAAAAAGCGCGAAAGAAAAATTTTTTATCTTCGAGTAAAGATTCACCAGTTAAAAAATATAAAAAACTAAAATAAAAACATCTGAGCTTATGTAAATAATAAAAAAAAAAAAAAACAAAAAAATAATTCCAAAAATATTTTTTAACAGTGGATACCAAAATGACCTTGAAAATTTGTTTTCTTTTCTTTTTTCTCTTTTCTTGTTTATTTAAGATATTTAACAATAGGCTGACTGTAGACTAGGTGGTGAATTGATCTGTAAATTGTGATATACCTATGTAGCGTAGCATATGTATACAAGTGCAAACGAACCGAATCAGTGTGCATATAAAGTAAGATAAAACAAGATAAAAAAGAAATAATGTAAATTGAATTTCAATGTAAGCTCAATGGTTAGTAATGGTGTCTGGAATCTAATAAATTTTAATTTTCTTACACATATACTATGTATGTATGTAAGTATAATAAAACAATAAATGTGATGAGTGAATACTTTTAAGTGATAATAAGAAAATAATTACGATAACGAAATTTTGGGAAAGAATTTCAAATAAAAATATGCTTAAGAAATATGAATAAAGAAAAAAATTCGATTTTATGATTAAATTTCGAAATCTTCATTTACTTAAGCCTAAGGTATAGGGTCAAAATTTATCAAAAAATATTTCTACACTATGTTTTATACAATTTAAAAACCACAAATGTTGATATAAATTAATTAATTACCAAATATTTATAAATTTAGATTGCAATTCATAAACTCTTGATGGTTCAAGTGGTTTTTTTTGATTCTACATTACATTTATATAATAAGCATTTATTAAGCTGCTATGCGCCCTTACTATGTTTTTCCCGTATTGGATGATTCATGTACACAAACCAAAGAATTTTAAGAGTTCAGTAACAGAGTTGAAGCTATCTTGACATTTCATTTTAAATACAAATGCAAATATCTATAATTAAAATTAAAAAATTTTATTATTAAAATATTGTCATACGTATCGCAAAATATTCACTATAATTCAAATGTTATAACCATAAAAAGCCAGTTATCATAAAAACGCTCTATTTAGAAATGGAAATGCTTACATATGATCAGTTTATATTTTTCAAATCATCATGAATATAGAACAACACGGGAAAAACCCTATTAATGTACACAAATTTATTTGAAACTCTATAATCGCTTTAGCGGGGTTTGTGCACTCACTTTCTCCTTATCATATTTGTTATTCGACTCCACAAGCTCTCTTACATACACTGTACTATTTGACCAAATCAAATATAAATAAATATAAAATGATTTTCAAGACCGTGCGAGTTCGTCAGCTCTAAATTATTTACAAAAAAGTTACATGATCTCCTGCGAAATTACTGTTTTATGGTGGTAATCTGGTAACAATTGGGAAATTGTTCATGTTATTCGTGAAATACAGATAGAATGTCCTTCACTCAAGAGCAGCTCCATAATACCCGCAGGCACAATACATGATTTCAAAATGTTAATGCTTTCAAGTAATGAAATAAAAAACCAGAAATTCAAATTCTATACATATTGAGGTTCAATGCAAAAACATATTTTATTTGTTTCAAAAAACTCTCAAACTATATACATAAATAAATTTTATATGAGAAATTGTCAATTAACAATCCATAGACATTTTTTCTTCTATATTGCGAAAAAATTCTTTTTTTCTTTTCTCTCATGTATTCAGTTACAACCATGGTCATTTTAATATAAAACAAATTTTGTGAAAATTTTTTTTTTTAATTAAATAACCCTCAAAAAATATATTGCTATTGTTGACATAATAATAATATACGAGTAGTATGAGGAAATGAATATTCATTCAGAATTTCCTTTTATTTAAAAAAACAAATGTAAAATTTTAGAAACGTTTTATTATATGACTAAACTTAAACTTTGTCCGTCTGTCTAACCCACTCTAAAAGTGAACTGATTCGATTAATAAAACAATAAAATTAATAGTTCAATATTTAGTGAGGAAAGTTCCGGAAGCTTATATTCCAAAATCTACAACTTCATGAGTATTGAAAGATTTTTTTTTAAATATTATTTTAAACACTGTTTGATTTTGATAGAATTAGTAGTTTAGACAAAGTAGATAATTGAATACTATACTCTACATTGTATTGATATTTAAAAACAAAACCTAAAAGCAATTGAAGTAGCGTAAAATAAACGAAATAAATCCTAATTGAAGAAGAACAACATAGCTGTAATGTGTGTAAGAGAACGTATGGGTACTTGTAGAACAAATAATGGTATTACTAATAAGTAGCAAAGTTTTTACACAATAAATGTCTGCTCTAAATGAGCGTGATTTTGACACAACTTTGATACAATAAAAGCAAACGTAATACTATGTAAAAGAATATGATAGGCTCATAAAAATTATAACGATTTTGGTATAAAATGCGTAGATACGCGCATGTTACCAAAACATTAATTATAAATTATTCTTCTAGCGACGACAAGTTTTACTTATACTTTAATAATAAAATATGTATTGAACTTGATAATTTTTAATTTTTGGGAAAACCCAAAATTTTATTCTGAAGTAATTTCGCATAACTTGAATAAAAAAAAAACGACAAAAAAAAATATCATTTTCTTTTTCCCTATACATTAAAAAAAAAATAACTCGCTTCGATGATTAGCCAAAAAAAAAAAACTTTAATTTTCATAATTTTAATTTCATCTTAAAGATTTTTAATGAAGAAAAAAATAAAAATGGAAAAAGAATGCTATTTAGATTTTTATTTTATTTCTTTATTTTTTTTTTTTTTGCAAAATAAACTTTAATAAGAAAAAAAAAATGTCGGTCGATAAACTTTTCAAAGGTCATCAAAACAATATTAAAATCAACACTTAACACAAAATCAAATTGGTATATAAACAAATTTTATTGTATGGTTTTTTTTCTTTCTACAATATTTTTAAAGCATGACGCATTAACAAGTTTTTAAACTACTCATATGCAAATGCGAATACGGAAGAGATTCCCTCTTAATCAGCAATAGCTTTAGTACCAGTTATATAGGGGAAAAGTACTCAAGTTTTTTTTTTTTTAATAAAAATTAAAGTTAAATAGAATAAAAACTTGATCAATGGTTTGTAAAATAGCAAATTTCTCTTTAACAATATTGAATTCTAGAGACCGTATTTTGCATAAATTTAGGAGAAATCTTTAGAGTAATAATTATCAAAAAAAATATTTATAATAACATGAAGTTAAATTAGTTGAGGCATATAAGAAGGCATTTTAGTTATGACTCTGACGTAGGAAGGTATTGAAGGCATTTTTAGCACTTTTCCAAAAAATTTTTGAAAAAAGTGCTTATTAGTTTCACTCTGTCCATCCGTCCGTCCGTCCGTGGACACTTTTTTTCTTTACAAAACTTCTACACCCTTGAAGATAGAAAGCTGAAATTTTATATGTACATAGATCTTTACTAGAAACTTATTTCCGTAAAACAAAATTTTTACCTATCTCCCCCCCCCCCCTTTTAGAAGTTACACCCCCCCAAAACTATTTGTTGCAATGAAACCATAAGCACTTTTGAAGTTGCAGCAAACGCAGAAAGACAGCGGCTTGCTTCCCCTATCGCGGTATACTATAGTTAAACTTTAGAAAAACAAAATGGCCGTTCAAATTTACCGTTATCTAAAGTCCTTTTTTTCTAAATTTTTGATGTCGTTTTTCTTCTAGACCCCAGCCTGTAGAAGCTTGAAATTTTAGGGACGTTTAGACATTAACAAATAGTTCATTTCGTTAGAAGAAAATGTTTTCCATCTCCACCCCTCCTCAAGTTATCGACTCTTGAAATTTGTAAAATTTGAATTTTTGACACTTTATATTTCCGAAACCGCAAGCTTTTTCAAATTTCTATAAACTGTAAAAGATAACGGTAAATTCCATGACATTAAAAAATATAATTATTTTTCTTAACTCTTTTACTTAACTTTTGCTTTATTTCAAAGACTGCATAAATCGTTCATCCTAAATATATGCAATTATAGTAGTAGTTTTGTATATGAATGAAAATAATTTTAATAGTGTGATAGGTATACATAGACTGCATTTAAAAGCAGAATTTTCACTTGTTGAAGGGAAAAGTGCTACAATACAAACCATTGGTTTGACCCAACTTTATTTAATACAGAAGTATAGTTGAGCTTGCAGTATCGAAGAAATTGGTTATCAAAAATTAATGTTTTG